GGGCCCATCGTCCCTATACTGTCGTATGGAGTGGAAATATGGGGTCACCGTCTAACGAATTCTAGAGTCGTTCGAACTCTCGGGCAGATCCAGGGGCTTTATTTGAGGACCATCTTGCGGGCGTATCGCACCGCCCCAGTGGAGACGTTATGCGTGGTGGCGAGACAGCCGCCGATTGATCTCCTTTTGTCTGAGATCAGGGCACGGCGTGCAATTAAGAGGCACGGGGAAGGGACCCATGTTGGGGAGCGACTTGTGGTTGCTGGGTTCCAATACCAATGGCAAATTGACCATCACCTGAGAGACTTGTCTCTGGCTCGTTGGGCAATTCTTTGGGACGCATGTCCCAAGGGGCGTTATACCTATGGCCTATTGACACCCTTTAGAGAGTGGCTGGATTCGCCTTCAGCTGTTCTCTCTCCTGCTATAAACCAACTAATAACTGGGCATGGCAATTTTGGATTACACCTGCACCGGATCGGTAAAGCACCCACACCGAACTGTGAGTTCTGTGGAGTGTGTGACGATCCACCGCATAGGCTGTTCGATTGCCCGCTGCATAATGAGACCAGAATGGTAGCAGAGACCGTGTTGGCGATTGGCGTAACAAGACCTAATTTCCTAAGGCTGCTCCCCCGTGTCGAGGATACTCTTGATTTGCTAGTCCGATAGATACCAGAGTCCCCCTTTATGTTTGTATATGTCCCATATACATATCGTAGTTTAGGTTAATTTAATGAGTGTTTAGTTTTAGTTAGTACTTTCTGCACACCCGAAGATGGAGAAACCGCAAGGTATGTGCCATCTTCCATCTGCAACTTGTTGCAGAAATGCTAGTATTTGTCCGTTTGTCCGCAATACAATACTTATGTGCAATACCGTTTTATACCATTTGAATATTCATGAGAGGACTGCTCCTTAAGAGCAGGGGTGGAGGAATTTCAATTTCGGGCCTCTCAATTTCTGTATACCGACTGCAGTCATACCTACATATAATGCGACTTCGTTCTTTTTTGTCTAAGATTATTTAATTTTTACGTTTTTATTACCAAATAATAAAATATAGTATACAGGGCGTATACAATTGTATCGTTAAATTTATGTTTTTGTCAAAATATCTTAATATGCCTAACTTTATTCGATTAGTTTATATATATATATATATATATATACATGCACGGCTATCAATACGAAGCCCGGTGCATTACACTGGCTAGTCGAAGCCCGGTAATGCGGGACGGGGCGGTTAACTGTTCGTTGGTGCATAAACAACAAGAGACACACTTCGCTGTGTATCAGAAGCCCTGCGGTGTTGCCAATGTCTAAATTTATAATTATAGGCAAATTTGATTTAAAATACCTAGACTATACCTAAACTTAACCTATATTTTTAAATAATGACGTAGGTATACTTAAATATTTAATAATATTGTTGAATTATAATTTTTATAATAAAAATTATTATAATAATAATTATTATTAAATTAATTATAAGTCATTATTTAAAAATATTGTCTAAATTTATAATTATGTGCAAATTTGATTTAAAATACCTAGACGATACTTAAACTTAACAATATTCTTAAATAATGACGTAGGTATACTTAAATATTTAATAATATTGTTGAATTATAATTATTATAATAATAATTATCGTTAAATTATAATTATTTATACTATAATAATTTAAAAGTATTGTTGAATTTAGGACCTATAGGTATAAACATTTCATTTATTTTGTTTATACATCATAATTTTGAGAAGGTTTAAATATCTTATACAGGGTGCTCTACAAGCTCTATGGCAAACTTTGTCAGATGATAGCTGGGTTAATTATAAACATTTTTTCTTAAATGACATGGATGCGATTCGTTTTTGTTTAAAAGTTAAGCTTTTAAAAATATATTTCCATATGTTAATAAAAAATATACGAATATATCAATAATTATAATTATTATAAGAATTATTGTTGAGGTTAGGTAATTTTGTGTAAAACTTAAATGGGAATCAAAACAAGTGAAACTGACTGAATATTTTTTTCATGAATTATAAAGACATCTAGTTTTTTTTTAATTATTAGATTTAAATACACCAAAAATTCTAAAAAATCTAAATAATGACGTATACTTTAATACACTGCCCGACAAAATTATCGCATAATAAATATAAAAAAATTAACTCTAAAACGCCTTTACCAATCTTTATGAAATTTTTGATAAAAATACTTCAACTTATATCTCAATTTACGTGTTAGAGGGTTTTTCGAGAAAATATGTTGCCTTTTTATTTAATAATGAAAAAATGTTCGAAATATAACTTTTAGGGAATTTTTTAAAATAAATAAAAAATATGCTGTTAAAGAGCGTATTTTTTTAGTACACCCTGAAAATTTTGTACAAATCAAACGAACATTAACGAAGATACAGCGCTTCAAAGTCGGTAAAAATGACGCCTTTTTGATTATTTTGCTGAAAAGTGGTCATTTTTCACGACTTTGAAGCGCTGTATCTTCGTTACTGTTCGCTTGATTTGTACAAAATTTTCAGGGTATACTAAAAAAATACGCTCTTTAAGAGCATATTTTTTATTTATTTAAAAAAATTCCCTAGAAGTGATTTTTCGAACTTATTTTCAATATTAAATAAAAAGGCTTTAAACATATTTTCTCGAAAAACCCTTAAACACGTAAATTGAGATATAAGTTGAAGTATTTTTATCCAAAATTTCATAAAGATTAGTAAAGGCGTTTTAGAGTTATTTTTTTTATTTATTATGCAATAATTTTGTAGGGCAGTGTATTTAAAAATAGTGTGATTTATAATTATTTTAATAAAAACTATTATATTATTGAATGAATTATAAGTCATTATTTAAAAATATTGTCCAAATTTATAATTATAGGCAAATTTGATTTAAAAGGCATAGTTGAGGAGCATCCGTGGAAAACCGGCTATATCCATTTTAATAAATGTTGGGAAAATTTAGAAAAACTAAACCAAATTAAAAGTTGAAAAATAAAAAAAAATAAGTGGGGAAAATTTAGTTTAGCATCCTATAAACAAGAAAAATGTATTACAAACCAAATATTGTTTTATAGCTACATTATAAAGTTAAAGCTGCCTTTTATCCAATAAAAATCGTAGATAAAATATTACTTTAACCAAAACGGTTGATAAAATAATATTGTAATGGTAAGTATAAATGGACAATCCTTATCTAAAAGCAACCAAGCGCCAAAAACTATTTTTGGACTTAACAACATTTTTTGTAAAATAACTCATTTTTAATAATGCTCAAAAAGTTTCTCATTATTTAGAACTTCTTTTAAATTATTGAGAGGACTTTCAAATTATAATTAAGTTTTTGAGCAGCATTAAAAATGAGTTAGGTATATACAAATAAGAACCCAATTTCTTATTGTTGTTTGGTCGTTTGGTCGTTGTTTGACCAGTTGTGAATGTTAATTGACAAATTGCCATGAGAAGCTGTCAAAAAGCAGTTTTTGCAATTCAATGTTACATTATAATGATATTTAATAAAAATAATTTTTAATTTATTTCATACCGCTATTGGAAAGTTTTTAAATAAATTAAAAATTATTTTTATTAAAATTGAAAATGTTTCAAATAAATTAAAAATTATTTTTATTTAAATTATTTAAATGTAACATTGAATAATAATAATAATAATATATACAAATCCCCTTGTTTCCCCAATTAAAACTATGTAAAATATCTGGACAACTTGTAAAACCGCCCCAAAGAAAAATGCACTCCAAATAATATTTCAAAAATAAATATTTCTTTAAAATTAAGTGTATTACGAAAGTATTTAACAAAACATTGCCTTTTAATCCACGCCATGTAGTGAACAAAACATAATTTTGGGAATATAACATTTGTTTTGAAAATCAGTAGATACAAATTTAAGAATCCCGCATTATTTTCCCCGCCTTCCTATCAAAAAGTCATCGAGCGTATAGTCCCCATTGTTGCCAGATGTACGGGCTTCGTATACTGCGTAATACTTATACAAAGCTGTATATAATCTCGTTTGACTCGTGTGCCCCCTACCGCCAAAGCATTGGAACTAAGGGTGTATATTTTGATAGGTTTGAATGGCATTAGGAAGCCCACCACTTTTTCGCCATTGAAACAAGGGGGCATCACTTAACTCTAAAACAAATTTATACACGCTAATTTTAGGAAGCCCGATTTCGGGCTTCGTAAAAACCGAGTGGGCTTCGTTTATACTGTAGAATGTAACGTTTCGGGCTTGGTAATGTAGGATTGCATATCTATATATACATATATATATATATATATATATATATATATATATATATATATAACCTACCAACTTTTTAGCGTCCATACATTTAAAAATTACATACGATTCAGCGTCCACCGGCATTGAGCATCCGTATACGGACGCTGAACGGTAATTCCGTGTTAATTTGGATCCTAACAATATTAAGGGCATGTGCGCTAGATGTTTGCAATCTTTTAATTATTACAGAATTTTGCATTAAAAAATCTGTAGACTGTGTTTCTATCTTTAGTAGTTATTATTATATAAACGGATGCTGAAATGTCGTACTTTGGGTCAGATTTATACAGAAGTAGTTCAAACAATTTTCATCGGTAGCGCTGCAGTCGTATACGTATATTGACTAAGATAGTTCGGCGTCCTTCAATTTGACAACGCCGCGAAAGCCAACTTTGTGGGTAAATTAAAACTTACCGCTGCTTGCTATCATCATTTGGTAATTTTTTCGTCTAGAGTAACTACGAGTTACTAACTAGATATGGTAAAATAATACGGGGATACTACTAGTAGTAAAAATACCACCAGTAATAAATTTAAGGTTAATTAAAACAATATTTATTATAAAATTTTGGATGCAAAATAAAAAACTACAATTTATGAAATATAATCTTAAAAAACTAAACCACTAAAACCAATGTCAGACTGGAATGTGAGTCTATACCTATATAAGTCTAATCCATTTTTTTGTATGTGTTTTGAATAAAAACTTTTATTTTCGTCCACGGCTTGTTACTTAAAAGATCTGAATATTTGACCCTTAATTCTTCGCATTCTGATCTTTTAGGTGGCCTTTTTTGTTTGATATGACTTTTGAAGAACTCTAAAACAACTTGTTTCTGTTGGGATAGTTTGGTTTTATTAATTTTTCTATTATTAACAATTACCTTAGGGTATGTATTACATGTAGGACTTTCTAACAAGACAGCATCTTCTTCATTATTCAATTCTGTAAAAAAATTGTTTCAAAGTTGTTTATAAGTTGTAAATTTTAGACTAAATACTAATCTATTGAATTAGCATTTACTGGAAATGATAAGATCAAACTGGCCTCATCTCTTTTATTTAATTCTAAAATTATTAAATTTTTATACAGTGTCACACGAAGTGCAAGCAAATATCTACATTATTGACCAAAATACAAATTTTAAATTTTTTTCACTTATATAATCTTATAAGCTACATCCTCGAAAGTTTTTAATTTAATTGTTAGTTGTAAACTCCGTCTGCTGTGACGTTTTACAATAAAATACTTTTTATAGTTTATTTAGTTTCTGGACAAAAAAAGCAATTAAAAAAGAAGAAGGGGGTGTCAATTTTTTTTGTAATAGCTGATGTAGGTACCCAATTATACCATACCAAAAATTTGCCTTCATACGACTCCGCAATGCTACTAAAATACTTTTTTTGTAATCATTTTAATGAATGATAATCTCAAATCATAAAAATTTTACATTAAAATATAGTAAACAACTTAATTCATATTAAAAATAAACACCCCTATACCAAAAATATTTATAAAACGAAATCAGTTTTGTTTGTTGTAAATGTCGCCAAAAACTAACCTTGCTATAAAAACAACCAACTAAAGTGTAAAGAACCAAAACTTGCTATATATTATAAAATGACGTTTAATGTTGGGGTCTTGGATAATCTTTTTCCGACTTTTAGCCAGCTTTTAATATTGAATACCTACCCCTATGTGCGTCGTCGGCAAAATTTTTTTTTTAGCGCGATCACAATACTTGATGGAGAGATCCGGGAAAGTACATAATTGCCCTATTTTGGAGATTTCATAGGTGGGGCTTACAACCTCAAAATATCAAGTTTACAATGTTATATAATAATTATATAATATTGTAAACATTTATTGAGTAAAATTTAAAATTTACAAACTAAAAATGAATTAGTCAAAAATGACTTTAATAGTTATGTGGCTGCTTTTTCACTTGTACAATGGTTAACCATGGGATACCATGGTATCCCAAAATTTAACAGCCAATTCTTATGTAAAATTGTCTGTCCCCTGAATCCAAAAATGTCGTCAAAATTTAAAAAAGTAAAACAGAAGATATAGTAAATTTTCCATTTAATATGGAATTGACTATATCTCAAAAACTGCTCAAATATCATAATTTTTGACGGTATTTTCGGATTCAGGGGACAATTTGACATAAGAATTGTCTGTTAAATTTTGTGATACCATGGTATTCCATGGTTAACCATGGTACAAGTGAAAAAGCAGCCACTAATAACCATTAAATTAGTCATTTTTGACTAATTCATTTTTAGAGAGTATATTCTTATACAAATAACTAATATATCAGCGTGTTCAAAAATATCTGCATTATGAGATAGCTGTAGATTTTTGCAAATTATTAATTGTTCTTTTTAGTTCGTTATTTGTGCCATTTGTAGGTACTCCATAAATGTAATCATCTTTAAAACATTTGGTCTCATTTCTTACATACATATATATATTGTGGCGAAATTTAATTTTTAGTAACAAAAAAATACTTTCGCTCACATACGCGGCAGCTCTCTTTATCGGGAGCGGGTGAGGGTACAGATGGTAAATAATTAAAAATGGGCGCCAGCCAAAAGTAACCTTTTGACAAGGGTAGGAGGGGTAAATGGGAAAGTGGTTCTTTTAACAATAAAAAAATTTAATGAATTTAGTTTTACAAAACTCTATTCTCTTTATTTTCAATAGAAAACAAAAGTTAATCATTTAACCTGTTTGCTGCAGTAAAATTACCCAATTGCAATAACATAAACAAGTGTTGTCAACACCAAAAAAAAATTAAGTATATAAAAAAATAAAATAAATACCTTCCGAGTGAATGCTTTACAGTAAGTAAAATGTTGTAAATTCTAAACCTGGTGTTGGTTAACTTGCTTAGACTAACTTTCTTGTTCCAGCCAAACAGGAATGGACAATGTTTAAATGCCCCGGGTGGGCCTCGTCCACATAAATACGTTAACAGCAACAACTCTGGTCACACAAACAGACACAGCAAGGCAGGAAATAACGTAGTAGGACACAGTGCAGCAGGACACGACGTAGTAGGACACAGTGCAGCAGGACACGACTTGGTAGGTATTTCTCCACAAATGACCCTTGTAACCTCAAATTTGGTCTCCAATAATATTGATTATTTCTGTTTTAGCGATAAAGTTCTATGATAGATAGATGTATGCCCAACTAGGCTTGCTAATGAATGAATAATACAAACAGAGAGCAAAGAAGGCCTAAAAGAGAAGTATCACTTAGCATGTTTTCGAAAACACAGGAAAATCCGTTATAATAACAAAAATATAATTTACCTTGGATGTCAGATGGCCTTAAAGTATTAATGGTGATTTATTTAGTTAATTTTATTAAACGATGGTCGAAACTAAAGCATATTATTTGGTTCTTCCTTTCTACGCTACCAAAAGCTTCGACCCAAAAATCACAATGGCCTCCTTGACCGGAAGTTCTGTCAAAAATCCCTTAATCAAATCTAATTGGCCGACCAATATTTATAAAAAACTTAAATATGGTAAGTTAACTTTAATAATTAATTACCTAAATATGATACTTAATAGCTTTTTCCTGTATTTTGCAGCTCAACAGAGGTTCCCAAAACGGTTTATTTAATATACTTTGGATATTTCTAATAACTATGAAAATAAACATTGTTTATAACCTCCAAGCCGTGTTTACCATGCCACAATAACAAACCAAGTCGTGTTTACAATACCTAACTGCATGTAATAATTGTCCGCAACAAAAATAGATTGCATGTTAACCTGGTTGCCTAATGGTAATTCGAATAAATTAATTTTAAAACAATTTTTCATTTTTATTTACTGTTTAAACACTAAAAACCCGTTACAATATATAGATTGGCATTATTGCATTGTAGATGGATCAATTTAGCAAGACTCTATTGTAAGATTTATGCCTAATCTAACTTTTTTTATTATAAAATGCAAATTGGTAAAAAAAATTTTAAAAATAAAAGTAAAATACACTTACCTGGAGATAAACGAGATACCATCTGTAAAATTCGTTTTCCCCTTGAACCCATTTTAGAATTAACGACTTATCACTTTTAAAGAACACCACTTTGATTTATTTTTTTTTGGTTAGGACTTAACCGTTAAGTCAGGCAACATTGCCAGACGCAGAATCAGCGACGACTTGTTACTAAAGTATACATCTGGACGCACGATAGATAACGTAATGTTAAGTATATCGAGGACGTTGAAACGATAGCAAAATAGTCGGACGCTGAAAAACAGCATAGTAGAAAATGTCAATTTAATCCTAACCAATCCAAATAAATTTAATATACATTACACTTTTAAACACAGTACAATGTACGCCATCTATGAGCTTAAATTAAATTAGATAAACTTTCATGGACGCTAAAAGGTTGCGTTATGAAAAGACGCTGAAAAGATAAATAGATGTATATATATATATATATATATATATATATATACATATATATATATATATTGATGGTAGGTATCTTGTCGCCTCCGGCACATAGATAAGGCGACCTGGCCTCCGGGTTTTCCCATTAAGTTACTTAAAAAAAATATATATATATGGGGTGTTAAAATGATAATCAATCCGGATTTCTTGAGAGGGGAAATGTTTTTTATTTTTTAAGGAATCATATATGTATAAATATGAGGAGCACAGACTGTACGTTGTGACCTCCGAAAATTTATCCTGATGCGTCGTTGTGGCCTCCAACAATGTTGCCACATTATCGGAGGTCATAAAGACACCTATTTATCCGCGTGCTGATTTTTAATATAAATATTCATTCAGGCGGACAGTTTGCTTAATTTTTTTTTAAAGTCAAAAATGTTCTTTTTTATTTAGTCAACTCTAAATGTAATAATAGTATTATTATTATTATAATGCTATGTAAATATAAAAACAACTGTTTAAAAGTTTTAAGTGATTTATTTGAAATTTAACAATTGTTTCGCTAAACTGTATAAGCTATAGCTTCTGCTACTGCTACTTTACCTAGATTAATATGGAGTTTTATCAAGTAAAGGTCGAAATAATTAATTCAATGTAATGTTTAGGTTTAATTTTAAAAATAAACTCAGTTATAGGAGTAGTTTTATTAAGAAACTAAGTACAAAAAGGTAAGTAAGTATTTCCAAAAATAAACAATTATATTGCAAACAAATATCTAAACACCTTTTTTTGCCATTAAATGTTGCAGTTTGGATTTAACGGCTGTAATGGGGCGATTTATATTGTTTTTTTGAATATAATCTTTTATTTGTCGACCAGATGGATAAATTAATTTTTTTAAATACGAATCAAATTCCTTCTTTAAAGCATCCACTTCGGCTGGAGTCCATCCTAAAATTATTGTTCTAGTTATCTTTACCTGTTTTTGTTTTCAATGTATGTACCTTTTTTTGTTATAGTTGGTGGTATTTTATTTTCAGAAATTTTTTTTACTTCAAGGTCGTCATTATTATTATTACTATTTTCATCAGTATCGTCATCTAAATCTACAAAAGTAATAAGGTAAGTAATCATCTGTTTTTATTTTGTATGCACCTTTAGTTGTATTTAGTTTTTTTTTAGACATAGTTTTCCAAGCAAGACCGCCAAGTTCATTTTCCTTGCTATCATTAAAATATATATATACCTATATATATTTATTAGGCTGGTTCAAAAAAATCAACTATTTTTTTTTCCTGAAATTTCGCACTGAAATATCTTCACGGTACCAAAAAAAGACGCCTGTGAAAACCGGAGCTCTTAATTTTAATATTTAGAGGTCACGCATCGAGAATTTCTATTTCCCATTTAAATAACATGGGAAATTTTGTTTTGTTTCTTAATAATTTTCTAGTTCACAAAATATTTAACAGATTTGTATGCGCGATATATATTCTTGTGGGAAATTGAACGCTCTACAAAAAATGTCTCCTATCATTATTTGATAAACCAACTTAACTTTAGTTCAAAAATTGTTCAAAGTCGAAGTTAAATTTATGTCATAAGTGCATTTTTTACTTAATTTTTAGGCAAATTCATTAAAGTTATAATCAAAAATCAAAATTACTATGTTCAATAAGCCTTTTAAATTAATTCCACTGGGAGGATTTAAATCAATAAAAAAGGATTTTAATCAATCAAAAAGAATTTTAATGAATTCTTTCCAAAAATAGTAGGTGTTTCAGTGGATTTGATTTAAAAGGCTTATTGAACATCGTAATTTTGATTTTTGAATGATTTTTTTTATATTTGATAATAACTAACTTATGAATTTGCCTAAAATTAAAGTAAAAAATGCAATTATGACATAAATTTAACTTCGACTTTGAACAACTTTTGAACTCGTTGGTTTATCGAAAAATGATATGAGACATTTTTTGTAGAGCGTTCAATTTTTCACAAGAATATATATCGCGCATACAAATCTGTTAATTAGTTTGTAAGCTAGAAAATTATAAAGAAACAAAACAAAATTTCCCATGTTATTTAAATGGAAAATAAAAATTATCGATGCGCGACCTCTAAATATTAAAATTAAGAGCTCCGGTTTTCAAAGGAGTCTTTTTTTGGTATCGTTAAGATATTTCAGTGCGAAAATTCAGGAAAAAAAAATAGTTGATTTTTTTTGAACAAGCCTAATATTTATATATAAATACAAAAATAAATATGTTCTTTCTTTAAAGATACGCCTATCGGCAACATGCTAAAGGTACAAGACTAAAGTTAACTTACGCAAGATTTTCTCATATTTCTCTTTCGTAGGGCGGTCATTTGAAGGTTTCGCCGACTCAAATATTTCTGTAGCACTCACATGTCTTGTTTCATTTAAAAGTATTTCATTTACTTTATCAGCTAATTGTTAATAAATATTAGTATATTGCCGTTTATAAAATCTTGTTTTCTGTTTAACTACACTTTAAAAAAATACCTTAAACTTTTATGAAACTTATTGAAATTAAGTTTTGTTAAATCTCAAACAAAATTTTTCAAACCAGTAAGTAAGTTTATTATAATTTTAATTAAATAAATTGTAAATTCATCAATAATTTTATTTTTTTAATTTTTAAAAATGTTTATTTACTTTTTACTTTAACATTAAAAAAGTTAATACAGTTACCATCGTTATTTTCTTCGGCATACTCCAAGTTAATATCAAAATTTATTTCAGCGAGTGACTTTCCTTTGTATTCCATGGGAATTGCACCTTTCTCCATCATAAGTAAAAGTTTAGAAACTTTTGCGGTTTGATAAATATCAACCGGCAACCTAAAACAACAATTAAATAAGAGTAAAAAAAATCACTAATCACTTATCCTGTTTTTCACATACTCATAAAATTCATTATGGGTTTTTTCTGTGTGACCCATGAATTGCGAAAATTGTTTGGCTTCGTCCTTGGATAAGCTAAGTATTTGCATTATAGTTGCAATATGCTTTCTTAATTTATTACTTGTTATTAAATGGGGATTTTCCAAATTCATTTTACTTGCAAGAGATCGAATGGCAACGTCTCCTTTGCCCCATGGAACGCTGCTTCCAGGAATGGCAAAAACATATTCGTTATCTGAAGATATATACTTTTCTCTAGTTTTTAATAGTATATTTACATAATTTTGAAGAATCTTCGGTAATAAAATTACGACAGCTCTAGAGCCTTTCCCACTGTTCAATACACGTTTATATTTGGTAGTTAACATTAATTCCGTTTCTGATAATACATGTTCAAACTCTGGAGCGCAATTACTACGCTGGTCCTTTTTATAGTCTTCAATTTTGAGGAACTGGACATCACCAATTCGTCGCCTGTTAAACAGAATTAGCAATGCTAAGGTGCAATTAACCAGTAATTTGTAAGTTTTGATATCATCTTTTTGTTTTGTAAATGTTTCAGCACAATCGTTAGCATTTTTCAGACATTGGTCTCGGAAGATTTTTATGTCGTTTACTAGAGGCAACAGCAAAGGTTTAGTCCACCTTTTTTCTTGAAGGTCTTTATTAGCTAAAGAAGCTAGTTCGCTGTTCCACCGAGACTCGATCAATTTTTTAAAATTTTTTACGTTTCTTAGCCATATTGGTACGTGCGCTTCTGATTTACATTTAAAACCTCGATTTTCTTTTAAAATAAGATGTGTTAACTCGTCGCAAGAAATTTTCAAAGAGGTGCCAAGATGCATTGCAAGGCTGGGAGATTTAAATGTTTTTTTAATGGGGTCATATCCTACAATATTTCTTGCGGCCTTTAAAACATTGTCAAAATTTTTCGGGTGAAGGATATCTTTAAAACAAACTTGACCATCATTAGTTTCTTTTCTGTAGGAAATAAGCAGTCTTGCCAACTCCCTCATTCGGTTACTACACGCATATGCCATTCGTTCTTTTTTATGTTTTTTTAAATACGTCTCCCCAAAATGAGCAATTAGAAGATCTTTTTTAACTTCAAAAGAGATTTCATCCCCTTTCATTTTGTCAAATACCTAAAATTACTATTGATTACTATTTTATTTTACAAAAGAAAAATGCTAGAAAAAATTAACGAAAAAAAAATGACCCAGAATATTTTGCATTAATTCTATATTATGGGTCAATTTTCTCTAGCTGATTTTAAAATAACACCTGGCATTTAACATTTAGTTTTGATAAAGTTTCTGTGGGATCACTGGCACAAGCCACGACTGTTTGTGAATTTGATATATAATCCATTCTACCACCTGATTGCTTAGAGCTACTTGGCTTAGAGGTACACCTTTTGGTATGCCTTTTCAAATAGGGTTGTCGAAATAAACCTTTGCAATAAATACACGGATAGTAATCAAGTTTTCCTAAAGATTCTTTGTTAGATTTCCTAAAAGGACGTGTTATTCCGGATATATGAAGGTGAAAATTTGTATCTTTTCGAAGTAATGAAAGTGCTAGCCGTCTATCTTTACTATTTTTAGGCAGTTTCAATATGTCTTCAATTTCTTTTTCTGAACCATGATGCCTCTCTAAGTGTCTCATAAAATTTTGTGAAAGCAAATCTTCATCACAAAATTTGCATCTAAATTGTTTTTTTTCAAGAACTCTTTTTGCCTGCAATACAAAATTTGGTATTAAAATATACCTGTTTAAAAAAAAATGCAATTACTTTAATTTTTTCGGAAAGCGGTTGAGAATTTATTTGATAAGTTTTGCATGAGTCACCGGTTATTGTATTTTCTGAAGTAGTGCTTGAACTACTATCAGTCAAGTCTCTTACTTCAAAATCTTTATCTCGTGAATCATCGCTTTCAGAGTCACTTATAAAATCTTCATTTAAAATTTGTGTATTTTCGACATCATTTGAATGAATTTCAATTTTTTGTATTATCTATAAAATTGAAGTTTTCTAATTTATACATGCTTGCAAGTTTTTATCTAAAATGCCTGTAAATAATTAGTAGCAAGAAACAAGGGTTTCTTGCTACTAATTATATAAGTTATAAAACAATTGTATTATAATTATTTATATTTTAACACTAAAAAAGTCGTTTAATCAATAATTAATTACACAGTACAACACGATTTCCCTCCCATGAAAAATTTTAGCAGATTTTGAAAATAGAGGTAAAAAAAACGTACCCGTGTCTCACAGTTTCACGAGATCACGTCATAAAAAAATTTTAAGCCGTCATTCCTATTATTTATGCTTATACAGATTGTACATTTTTTACTCGGTTAAAAATATATTTTTTTGTAAATATTGTATGTTTTTACACAATGCAAAAAACAAATATACAAAAAGTTTATATTTTGATTTTTTTTAAATAATTTTTTTTAATTTTTTTTTTAATGAAACACATTTTTGTATTTAACTTATATTCAATACATGTTGGAATAAAATCTTGGTCGTTTAGTTTGACGATTATACAGCCTGTTCAGAATAAAACCGAATATATCTATATATATATGGGGCGTGGCCTCGCCTCCGTCCAACGCGCGACACAGTAGCAAAGTAGCAAATAGACTGCATCGCTAATGAGATTTTTTGCATTATTATCATTTAATTTTTTAAGTCCTTACCTGCTCGACCTTTCGTCATGTCGTTTATCACACAAGCAACTGTGACGCGCCTTGGAGGGAGGCGAGGCCACGCCCCATATATATATATATATATATATATATTCGGTTTTATTCTGAACAGGCTGTATATTGCTTCAGAATCTCGAACAATTGACCAGCAATATTCACCCAGCAAATGCCTGACGTCTTTTCCCTTGAAGCGTTTTTCAATTGTTAAAATGTCTTGGTGAAAACGTTCGCCATGTTCGTCACTAAAATCGCCCAAATTTGGTGGAAAATAGTCCAAAGGAGCATGGAGAAAATGTATTTTCAGTGACATATGTACTTTCATGTCCTGTGTTATAAAATGTACTTTATAACCCGAACTACAGGGAATAAATTCAGATTCCATCTCGGAAAAAATGGTTGTACTGGGTGTTAAAGGTCTTTTACTTTTATCCTCACATATGTTTTCTGAAGGAGCAGTTGGATAATCTTCAGATCGCACTCTTGCGAGAATGACGGATTCTACATCGGCGTAATCAATTTTCTCTCTAGTATTGTACCGAAATCCAAAACTTTTTAATTTTGACATGCAGAAATAACACTGGTCAGATGCGTGTTCGGTACGTCGCGACGGATCGAAGCCAAATTGTTGGTGCAACATATTTCATACTGTGTGTTTTATCTTGCAATCCATGCAAACAACGGTAACAATAATCGCATAAAACCTCTGGTACATACCATAAGTTTGGTATATACGTCACCAAAAAATAGTCTTCAAAAGCTGTTACTACACTTTTTGTAATATTTCGCATATGGCTTGAAGGTGCAAATAAACCACATACATAACAAAAATTATTTTGATTCGGACACTGCATTTTTACTTTGATTTCAAATGGATGGTTAACTCAACAATCAAAATTAATATGAAAAATTTATCGATTTATCGCTGCAATAATGTTTTTATTTAACATTTAAAAAAAAAAGTATTACCCTCGTATAAAGATTGTTTTGAAAACAATGCTTTTTATGTATAAATGCCGCAGATGTGTAAATTTTTTGTTTTTTTGCTGTTTCAATTGACTTCGTATACTTAAATTTTTGTTTTACTTAAATTAAATATATTTTAGGTACACTTGCTTTAAGACTTAAATCAATTCATTTAAATATCTTTTAATTTTTTTTTAAAATGTTAATTCAACAAAGCTCAATTTTTACAAAAAATTGAATAAATAAAAATTTTAATCACCCGACTTTAAAGCATTTTGATTGGCTTAAAATTGAAACATTTTGTTACTTGGTTTAAAAATAAACCGTTTGATATATATATATATATAAATGTGCAAAACTCTGTATAAGATTAAAATAATTTTAAAATGCATCTATAATGGTTGCCTATCCATTTAGTAAATATATGTATATATTTTTAACTATGCAGTCCAGCTGTTATCGAGTCTATTAAATTATGTCGCGAATAGTGTGAATAACATTTTATTGGATAGCCCTTAAAAAAAAATTATGACGTGATGTGAAAAAACGCCGAGGCACGGGTATCATTTTTTTAACTCTATTTTTAGAATCTGTAGAAATTTTTCATGGGAGGTACCAAAAATCAAATTTTGTCGTACTGTGTTATTAATGATTATATTGATTTTACGATTTTTTGTGTGTTAAGCTGTTTGTAATTTAATGTAATTTAATTTTCGAAATAAATATTCTTTTCTGATTCCAAAACCATATAATTTTGATTTATTAAACCATTTTTAAAATATTGGGCAAAGATTGCAAAAATTGACCAAATATTTTCAAAACGGTTTAACTTTTTTTATAAAAGAATCTTAAACCAAAAAGGACAAATTTGGTTTTTGTTTTTGCTTTTAATTAAAACTTGTAGGTACATAACTGGCAATAAAAAAGTAGATAGTTTATACTAATATGATATTTACATAATGTAATTGTATTTTTAGTATTTTTGTTGTAAATTAACAAGATTAACTCGTAAAAAGTTTAGGAAAAATACAATACTGCCACAGTAATATACCTAACTTAAATAGTTAGGCATAAACCTATATTTTAATTGTAAAATTGAGATAGAAACTTTTATCAATGTAGCTATGTAAGTTTTATTACTTATTTTTTTGACTGTCAATTTACCATTTTTTTCAGATTGCATTATACATACATTAATTTCTTGTGACTGCATAGAAGATTCTGATAAAGTTTCGGAATTAACTCTAATAATGCTTTTACTTTTATTGCATATCAGAGGTGTTTGAATAACTTTTAAAGGCAGAAGCTCTGCATATTCTTTTTCACTTGAATCTGACCATTTACCGGGGTCTTTGGAACTTGAAAAATGAAGGTCACTAAATTTACTTTCATTGCATATCAGAGGTGTTTGAATAACTTTTAAAGGCAGAAGCTCTTCATATTCTTTTTCACTTGGATCTGACCCTTTACCAGGATCTTTGAGACTTGAAAAATGAAAGTCAGTAGATTGTATCCATTTCTAAAAAATTTGTAATTTATTTAGTATATAAACAAATTTTTATAGCTACCTTAACTAGGTAACTTTGTTTATCATCTGTTGTTTTTTCTTTTCCTTGATGATTTTGTGTTATTTCATTCAATGATTTAAATTGCGAAATTTTTAAAATGTTTTTCTGAATCTCATTTAATACGTCATGTGAAGGAAATCCATTTATAAAATCATCGTCTACGCATTTAGTCTCATTGGGTACAAGTATTGGCATTAAATCTAAAGTATCTTTTCTATACCATGTATTATAATTATTATTTGAAACTAAAATAAAAATGTTGTAAAGTACTGTCCATAAAAGTCGTCACGCTTTTTTGGGACTTTTAAATTTGGTCTCAAATGGCCATATTTTGCCAAACCTCTCTCCCATAAGGCATAACATCCTTTATGGACAACCCCAAAGGAGTTAACCCAAAACTTGTCTAGAAATTCCTTTTTATGTTCCAAATTCAATTAAATTTTGATGATTTTACAACAAAGAGAAAAATCCCTTTAAAATAAGGTAAGCTGATACTTGTTGGTCATTTTATAAAATGACCAACAAGTATCAGCTTATATAAATATTTAAATTTTTTTATGATAAATTTTTAATCTTGATTTTATTTTAAATCCCATTTTAATTCCGCCATTTAATTTTTTTAGTTTTAAATTTTGTATTTAAATCTTTTGCTTTATTTAATTTTTGCACTGTATTTTTTATTAGTTATTTTTAACAAATTTATTAAAAATTTGTTTTGATTTTGTTACCAGTTATCACATTATTTTAATAATGATAATAATGTTTATTAGCGCCAAAATAGCAGTTACAGTGTAATTGCTATTTTGTAACTGTTATACTATATTAATATTATTACTAATTATATTAAATAAAATAAAGTATTACAATATTTCTCAGGTTCATAACAGTAATAATAATGTGTAGACTGCCACATAATCTGGGTTTAATATTTTTATGCGAGCATAATTAATATCAGCTTCTGTTGACTTTTAGTCATTTTTATTGTCAATTGCGTTAGGTGATAAATTTTATTTATTTAGTAATAAAGTATAAAAAATGTTAACAAAAATTCATAATTAGTAAAAACCGGATTCTAGGCAAAATGCTTATCGTCAATTTTAGGCCGTTAAAAATGTTTAGTGCAAAATCTGTTTTGGGCATTTTTAGTTCAATTTATTTTATGGCTAAAATGACCAAACCTTGCCTAAAATGCCTAAATACTTGCCAAAAGTACCAAAATAGAAAGCAGTGCCTTTTTAATACATATATTCTTTAATGTCATTGTTTTTTAATAAAACAATGCACCCAACAAAATAGTAAGTTAAATCGCAATATAATCTAGCCTCTAAACACAACGAAGCGCCGACCATAGCATTGAACCATAGCTATGCATAGCTTCGCTCACCAAAATAAACAGACCGATTAAACCCAGACCTTAAGGTCTGGGTTTAAATTAACTCCTCTAGGTGCCGATGCATCGCGATGGTCCGACGTGACCACCTAGATTTAAAAGTTTTAAATTTAAACTGTGTTTATTTTTTTGTTAGTGAAATAGTTGCTATGGCGCTATGCTATTATCAGAGCGATAACATATTTTTTCGGATAAATAACAAGAAAATATCGAAAAAATTGTTGTTTTTTACTTTAATGGTAAATAAACCATTTCCTTAAATTAGTTTTTTTAATAATTTAAATTATTTATATTGTTAAAATTCGGTTTTTAATTATTTTTTTTATTTCAATAATTTAAGTTATTGATGTTGCGTTATAAATATTTTCTTATTTATTTATTTTATTTATATTAGAATAAACGCGTTATTTTTTTTATTGTATTTTCGTGCCTTTTTTCTCTTTAAACTTCTTATTTTGCCGTTTTGGGTGCCTTTTTTAGTTTTTTAAGTGTCTTAAGTAGGTAATTAGCAATCTTAAGAAGCCCTATATCTTAAATCTCCATATTTAATTTAATTGTTTAATTAAATACTTTTAGTTACCAACAGGTATAGCGATTTTAAGAAAAATGTAGGGTTTGATTTTTTGATATTAAAATAAAGTTGACAAAAGCTGTCTTAATCATGTTAAATTTCTGGAAACGATCATGGAATTTTATATAGGTACCTAGTCTAAATAATTTTACATACGGGTCAATGTAACTCAAAAGCCATTTTTCCGTATATACAGGGTGATTTTTTGATATTAAAATAAAGTTGACAAAAGCTGTCTTAATCATGTTAAATTTCTGGAAACGATCATTGAATTTTATATAGGTACCTAGTCTAAATAATTTTACATACGGGTCAATGTAACTCAAAAGCCATTTTTCCGTATATACAGGGTGTTTCATAATATATGCGCAGGACTTCAGTATGTGATAGCTCATCCAAAAAGATAAAAAAGTCGCTATTAACTTACCCTCTAAAATGTACAATTTTCGAGATACAGGGTGTTGAAATTTTAGAAAAAAAATCGTTTTTTTAGATTATCTCTGGAACCGTTTATCGTACAAAAAACAGCTCTTGTAAGCATTTTCTACTCATAATAAGCTATGTTTTGTGCCAGAAAAAATTTTTTTTACTCATAATTGGTGGAGATTTTGAAGGTGTAGCGGGTGTTTTTCTCCTCAACTTCAACGCCCCTGAAAAAAGTACGGTTTTGAGAGGCCCATTCGAACCGCCAATGTTTTCTACAGAAAAAAGGTAGTTTTGGTCATAAGCTCTAAAGTTGACCGTTTTCGAGAAAAATCAACTTTTATGTTTAAAAACATGGTCAATTTTTTGAAATATGGTTTGGTTTTGTTACTTGTCCTAACGTTAAAATAAATTTTGTTTAATTAGTAAAAAAAATATATATATATTTTTTTTAAATTGACAATGTTTTTAAACATAAAAGTTGATTTTTCTCGAAAACGGTCAACTTTAGAGCTTATGACCAGGAGTACCTTTTTTGTGTAGAAAACATTGGCGGTTCGAAAGGGCCTCTCAAAACCGTACTTTTTTCAGGGGCGTAGAAGTTGAAGAGAAAAACACCCGCTACCCCTTCAAAATCTCCATCAATTATGAGAATTTTTTTCTAGCACAAAACATAGCTTATTTTGAGTAGAAGATGCTTACAAAAGCTGTTTTTTGTACGATAAATGGTTCCGGAGATATTCGAAAAAACGAATTTTTTTCTAAAATTTCAACACCCTGTATCTCGAAAATTGTGCATTTTAGAGCGTAACTTAATAGCGACTTTTTTCATCTTTTTGGATGAGCTATCACATCCTGAAGTCCTGCGCATATATTATGAAACACCCTGTATAACCATAGTGTTGCTGTATTTAACCTTCAAAACTTGTTTATTAATTTAGATATTTATCATTGATGTCAAAAAACGCCGAAACAATCAGCGTCTATATTTTTCTTGACCATTGTCATATCAACTGGCTTTATCTACCCTTGCGATTAAAGTACTATTTTATCGAGGGGTCACCCACACCTGGGAATCCCTGGACATTTTAGAGGGGGAATACCATAGGAACACAATGGAAATACATAGGAATACAATAAAATATAATGGGAATACATGGGAATCCCTGGACGTTTTCCCTTTGGGTGGTTAACCCCTCGTATTTTATACACTATTTTTAATGGTAGAAGGAAACTTTAACAGCAAAAAACGTACACAGAGGTGGGCAAATTAATTGATTAATCGATTATTATTCGATTATCAAACCGTCGATTATTTTTTTGTAATAATTGATTAATCGATTATTTGATTAATCGATTATTCGATTATTGATCAATCGTTAAGGTTAAACTGTAATATATGTAACATACCTCTAGCTTTGACAATATTTGTGTGTGGCAATTCCAACTTATTTTTTTGTTTCTCTTGTAATTTATCATTTTTAAGCAATTCATTTATGTGTAAACTTTCATTGGTTTGTTCTAAAACCACGTGGCAAATAACATGAAAAAAATTGTAAGTTTATAAAGGTGTCTTGATTAGCAACCATTTGGTACTTACCGCACAATTTTAATAGCATCTCGGTCCTTGATGAAACCATTGTCACATTATAACACTGCACATACAGAATATTAAAACACTGCACTTGAGCCGTTAACAATTGTTTTCTCTTGGCGCCTAATTGATTTTTGTCTGTTATTTTCGGTTGACAGATCTCGCTAAAGCTCTTTATGATATTTTATCCGTTGTTGCCAAATTTCTGAGGCGGGAACGTAGCGTTTATGTAACTAATTTGATGTATTTATAATCGGAGGCGATAACGTGCTTTGCGTATATGTTTCGTGCAACACCAGCGCCAGCGATAGGTGTCGGAACTAAAAACTCTTTTTGTATGTAAAAAGGTATCGTTATCACCTCCGAGAAAAATTTTTGTATAGGACTCTACATGGTGTACTGATGTCAAAACCGATTAAAAAAAGGGAAAACGTTGTCGCCTCCCAAATCGGAGGCGACATCGTCATATATGAGGTCACAACGTTTCTTCAGTATCTACTTTTGAGGCGGCAACGTACCCTTTATCAATATATATATATATATATATATATATATATATATATATATATATATATATATATATATATATATATATATATTTATTTTACCGCTTATACAGACCCACTTTGCTTTATTCTACAAACGTTGTCAACCAAATTCGACGTTATCAGACCCGCTCTTGGGTCTGACAACGTATCTTATGTTATTTCGATTTCTTAAGGTCCCCTGAGGTAGTGGGAGCTTGTACAAAAAAATTGTCTCGGGCTTGGTTTGGCGGTAAATTATATACGAACATACAAAAATAGTTCACTAAATCGCCCTGCAGATGTCGCGTCATCGCTTTTTGTATGTTGTATAAAACTCTAACAGACCCGCATTACATCACTGACGCTACCAATCCCGGGATATGGCAACACTGTTGGGTTTGTTTTAATTTTATTTTATTTAATAAATTCGTGTTTGTGCTTTGTACAAGTTACTGGGAACTATCATGCAGAGTGGATCATAAAATCTTTCAAACATAATAAATAAAAAATGAAAACTAATATTGTTTAACAAAAATAATTCCTAAACTCATGGTCTTATCTTGTTATGTACTTTAGCTTAATTTTGGGTCGCATATAAGTTCTAAAATGTTACTACGGAGATTATGAGAACGGCGCACTAAAATTAACTGATACATACGTAATTACTTCTTTATTTCAACTTTTTAAACTTAGCGAAAACTAAGCGTTTTATTAACGATATTTATAAGAAAAATTACTTACAAATAATGTGCAAGGAAAGAGATAACTACTGTGATCTGCCTTATGGTACGCGGTTTCTTCCTACATTATTTTTAGGTAATTTTTCCATTTGCAAACCATAATTTACGATGTTTTCAGAAATCTAACCCTTATCACGTTTGCCTCTCTTTATTGGGTATTATACTATAATAGTACAATCAGTATTTAAATATACCAACTTAGTAAAAAATTAACATAATATATTATATGCAATATACTGCTTGGATAGCTTAATTGGTAAAGGACTTTACAGCACGATATAGAAAAAATAATATAATAAAGATTCGATTATTATACATCCCACATAATAATAGTTTTTTACTTTTAAATGCAGATTCAATGTTTGTATAAGTAAAGCAACTATTTCTTATTGTTGAACTTGTTTTATTGTAAATAACAAAATATGTTATGTATTATTATTTATTGCGAAAAGTATTAAAAACTAGAGTTTTTACTCGAACCCAATCGCTTTCTTTAAATAAATTTGGATGCTGTTTTATTAAAGTAAGGCATTCCTCTTTCTTGGGAACAGTCCTGGTTTTAAGGTGCTTTTTAAAGAAATCTAAAACGATTTTCTTCCCTTTTGGATCCCAACGAATACGATTTGCCATTTTGATGTTGGAGCAGCGTGGCTGAGGATTTGAATCAGCAATACGCTTATAAGTTTTTTTTTAACTGGGGAAGGACTGCTTGGGTTTAATTTCATTGTTATTACGTCCAAAGATTCTTCACCATTGTCACTTTGTGTATCCGCAGACATAGCCGTGTCGTCATCTTTTATTTCCGTAGCCATTTCCATTTCTGTAGTCGTTTTCATATTTTTTATTTCGCTTTCAGTTTCGTCGTCATCAATTAAATCACCGTCAACTTGAATTTCAGACAAACTTTTACCCTTAAATTCAGTTCCTTTTCCTGCATTTAATAACAATAACACCTTCGCTACCTTAGCTGTTTGAAACACGTCCTCGGTGAGCCTGTAAAATATCAAAACCTATAGAATTTTAAAATCATCAATCAATTACAAACAATTAAATTACATTATCTGTGGATTGTTTGAACGGTAATTTAAAATTTATGTAGCACTAAAAATTATTTTTGTATTCAAAAAGGTTGTTTTTCATAATATACTCCTTTAACCTAGTTCAAAAAATAAGCTTAAGCTTTGTCTAAACATCATTATAACGCTTTAAATTAAAATTCAAAAGAGTAGCGACAAGGATAGTTTTTAGGTAGCATACTATATATTTTTGCATATTTAAGGGCTATTAAAATCAGAATATACGCCATATTAATTTTTCCCTTTGCGGAATGTCTAAGGTAGTAAGAGGAAAAAACATAACATAAAGGTGTCCCAATATAACTGATGGAGCTTATAAGCTTTTATAAAAAGTGCTTAAATCTAATTTTTTAGTAAAAATAGTATATTATTATACGAGAGATAATGCAGGCTATTATTTACAAGGATAAGGTTCACCCGAGTGAATAATGCGCATTATTTCGAGTGTAGTACTATGATTTTTCTACTCCAATTAAGTAATTTTCATAAGTATAAAAATTTATTATAACTTCACTTTCTTCAGAATTTAGAGATCATTATAGTCGCTCCTCGTAAAAATCTAACATCTGTTAACCTTACTTTTTACCGATTGGTTCAAATAACAATGAATATTGAAATCAGCCAATCACTGATGCCTTACAACGCGAATAATAAGTTTATTATTCCCGTTGTTAGGCGGAGCGTTTTTATTGTTACCATTATTTAAGGAAAAAACACAAATAATATGCAATAGGAGTAAAAAAATAATTAAAATAGGCAGTAAGAAATTAAATACAATGTAATAAATTTTATTATTTTACAAGTAGATGTGCAGAAAAACTTAAAAAATTTAAAAAAAGGAAGAGATTTTTACAGGGTGTTTACGGTCTAGGGACTGAAAATTAAACCGCTGTTAAATTGGTCGGAATTTAAAATAATTCAATAAGAATAAAAATTATTTAAATTAAATTTATTTAAACTTTTGATTCAACTTTGGAAGGTCACTGGGTCAAACCAGGGATCTTCAGAAGTTGTATATAAACTTAAAATAAATTTAAGTTAAAAATTTAACGATTTAATTAATTAATTAACCCTACATCGTAAACTTTGTATAAGCGTTCAGAGAAATAGGGGCAATATTTATGTTTTTATAATTCACATTATAATAAAATTTATTTATAATATATTATGTACTCTTATGTGATAAAATATCATTTAAATTTAATATTGATTTGTTTATTAGGTAACTTTCTAAAGAGCACTATGTGCAGTTTCTAAGGGAAAGTGAGGTTATATTATGTTATGTTGGGAACAAACAAATAACAAACAAACAAAAATTAAACGCAGTATCTACTTACATGATGAATATTTAAAATAATTTTAATTAATTTAATAAACAAATTACTGATGCAATCTTGTATCTCGCGCGGAAAAGTGTAATTTTGTCAAATACTTGAAATAAGTTTAAATACTGTATACACACGACTCAAAATATGTTTAATAAAGCCACTTACCTTCATCGCCTTTCCTAGTCGCCAAATGCACTAAAAATCTTGCTCTATTCATTGCTAATAGTTAAAACGATATTAAACATTCAATCAGCGTTATCAAAAGCTTACACGTTCTATGTAATGGCCGTTGTGAATCCCATATTTGCAACCACTTAACGACGTTGTCAATCCCAGTAGTGTTTCTAAATTTAATTAAATTAGGCAACACTGCCGGGATCGACAACGTCGTTAAATTGTTGCAAAATTTATATATGGGACTAGGAAAACGGTTCCCTATATGGGGATTGACAGCTACCATTACATAGTACAAATTATTATATGTGAAAAATATTTCCCCTCTTCCTCTGCTCGTAAAGTTATAAATGGTAAGCATTATATTTTTACTTATACACACCCCGCGAACCAATATTTCTTTTGGGTTTGAGGTTGCCTGTTGAACATATCGGGCTTGGGAAGGATGGTTGGATAAATATATATATATATATATATATATATATATATATATATATATACATATATGTATATATATATATAGATATGCAATCCTACATTACCAAGCCCGAAACGTTACATTCTACAGTATAAACGAAGCCCACTCGGTTTTTACGAAGCCCGAAATCGGGCTTCCTAAAATTAGCGTGTATAAATTTGTTTTAGAGTTAAGTGATGCCCCCTTGTTTCAATGGCGAAAAAGTGGTGGGCTTCCTAATGCCATTCAAACCTATCAAAATATACACCCTTAGTTCCAATGCTTTGGCGGTAGGGGGCACACGAGTCAAACGAGATTATACAGTGCTTGCAAATCCAAGTCCGACCGGTTTGGGAAGGACGCGTGAAAATAACAAGGATAGAACGCCAAACAGAAGGCGCTTACAATACGCACGCCTGACGCTCTGACCAATCAAATTCTGTTTGGCATTCTATCCTTATTCTTTTCACGCGGGTATTGAACAACCATCCTTCCCAACGCGGTCGGACTTGGATTTGCAAGCACTGTATACAGCTTTGTATAAGTATTACGCAGTATACGAAGCCCGTACATCTGGCAACAATGGGGACCATACGCTCAATGACTTTTTGATAGGAAGGCGGGGAAAATAATGCGGGATTCTTAAATTTGTATCTACTGATTTTCAAAATAAATGTTATATTCCCAAAATTATGTTTTGTTCACTACATGGCGTGGATTAAAAGGCAATGTTTTGTTAAATACTTTCGTAATACACTTAATTTTAAAGAATTATTTATTTTTGAAATATTATTTGGAGTGCATTTTTCTTTGGGGCGGTTTTACAAGTTGTCCAGATATTTTACATAGTTTTAATTGGGGAAACAAGAGGATTGTATATATTATTATTATTATTATTATTATTATTATTCAATGTTACATTTAAATAATTTAAATAAAAATAATTTTTAATTTATTTAAAACATTTCCAATTTTAATAAAAATATTTTTTAATTTATTTAAAAAATTTCCAATAGCGGTATGAAATAAATTAAAAATTATTTTTATTAAATATCATTTTAATGTAACATTGAATTGCAAAAACTGCTTTTTGACAGATAGCTTCTCATGGCAATTTGTCAATTAACATTCACAACTGGTCAATTTATTTATACATGGCAAACAACGACCAAACAACAATAAGAAATTGGGTTCTTTATTTGGATAGTGCTTATCTAAAAGGAACCAAAAACTTGTTCGGAGCTTAACAAACTTATTTGTATATACCTAACTCATTTTTAATGCTGCTCAAAAACTTAATTATAATTTGAAAGTCCTCTCAATAATTTAAAAGAAGTTCTAAATAATGATAAACTTTTTGAGCATTATTAAAAATGAGTTATTTTACAAAAAATTTTGTTAAGTCCAAAAATAGTTTTTGGCGCTTGGTTCCTTTTAGATAAGGATTGTTCATTAGGGTGATGCAAAAAAATTTTTTTTTTGAATTCTATGCGAGACCACTCGGGTTTTCAAAGAGTATCAAGAAAATAAAAATCTGTAAAAATTTTAGAGAAATCAATTAAAATTTAGAGGTCGCTCAACGCAATTGTTTAATTTAGAAAAATCACGCATCTCAAATGCATTGCACTAAACAAGTAGGCATATTTCATACAAATTTGAATGAAAATGGTTGAATTTTTTTTTGGTGTACTCTTAATGATTATTCTAATAAATAATGTTGTCCCGATTTCAAAAAATTGTTCATAATATTTAAAAAATATATATTAATTAGCAAATATAGCTTAGTTAACAAATAATTCATTCAATTTTTTTTTTGTTTCAAAATCTGTAAAAACATTGTTAATAGGTCTACAAGCAATTATTCATTCACAAAAACACTCGCCCCCATCGTTAAATATGAGAAAAAAAATAATATTTTAATTAACTACACTTCGCGTCAAATTTAACGCACCACTAAAAGTTTGTCACATTTTCAAAGTTGATTTTCTCGCGAACCGTCAAACCGAATTTAGTGATTTTTATAAAAAATTGTAGGGTTATTCTTCGGTAATAATGCGTTTATTAAAATATTTTTTTAAATTAACATTTTGATTATATACAGGGTGCACGAGTGATAATAAGTTTTTTCCCGGAAATTTAAGACGCCCTGTGGATTGTACCAGCTATAACAGCATATGTATCTTATAATCAAACTATAGCCACATCTTCTCTTAACATTTTGTTTTTTGATTCACCGCGTTATCTTTATTTTTAAATGAAATATACAGTTAAAGATTAAAGAACTCCAGTTTAATACAAAAATGTAAAAAGAACGATTGTAACAATAACAACAAAAATATTAACAAAATCAATAAAACCAACATTAAAGAATATCAATATCGCGTATTTCTGCCTCTACTTCCAATTACGGCTTCACATCGACGGCTCACACTCGAAACCATGTCTAATCTCGTCTTGATCAATGACATTTCATATTTCTCGTAGCATATTTGCTACGTCATCAAGGGAGGCAGGCAAGGGATCATGATTTCTTAGTCGTCTACCCATATTATCCCACAAATGCTCGATGGTGTTGAGATCCGGACTATTTGCAGGCCAGTCTAAAGTTTTAACACCCACCTCATGTAAGTACTCTTGCACTATATAGCATTATCCTGCATCAGTAAAAAATTATTACCGGGCGAAAGGGACAACATGTTCAAATAAAATGTCCTCGATATATCGTACACTATTCATGGTACCTTAATTTTTAATCTTTAAATGTATATTTTATTTAAAAATAAAGATAACCCGGTGAATAAAAATACAAAATGTTAAGAGAACATGGGGCTATAGTTTGATTATGAGACATATGCTGTTATAGCTGGTACAACCAACAGGGCGTTTCAAATTTCCGGAAAAAAAAACTAATTATTACACTTGCACCCTATATATACTCAAAATGTTAATTTAAAAAAATATTTTAATAAACGCATTATTACCGAAGAATAAACCTACAATTTATTATAAAAATCATAAATTCGGTTTGACGGTTATATATGTATATACTCAAAACTTAAATTTAAAAGAATTTTTTAATAAAGGCATCATAACCAAAGAATAAACCTCAATTTTAAAACAAAAATTACCAAATTCGGTTTGACGGTTCGCGAGAAAATCAACTTTGAAAATGTGACAAACTTTAGTGGTGCGTTAAATTTGACGCGAAGTGTAGTTAATTAAAATATTATTTTTTTTCTCATATTTAACGATGGGGGCGAGTGTTTTTGTGAATGAATAATTGCTTGTAGACCTATTAACAATGTTTTTACAGATTTTGAAACAAAAAAAAAATTGAATGAATTATTTGTTAACTAAGCTATATTTGCTAATTAATATATATTTTTTAAATATTATGAACATTTTTTTGAAATCGGGACAACATTATTTATTAGAATAATCATTAAGAGTCCACCAAAAAAAAAATTCAACCATTTTCATTCAAATTTGTATGAAATATGCCTACTTGTTTATAGCAATGCATTTGAGATGCGTGATTTTTCTAAATTAAACAATTGCGTTGAGCGACCTCTAAATTTTAATTGATTTCTCTCAAATTTTTACAGATTTTTATTTTCTTGATACTCTTTGAAAACCCGAGTGGTCTCGCATAGAATTCAAAAAAAAATTTTTTTTGCATCACCCTATTGTTCATTTATACTTACCATTACAATATTATTTTATCAACCGTTTTGGTTAAAGTAATAATCTACGATTTTTATTGGATAAAAGGCAGCTTTAACTTTATAATGTAGCTATAAAACAATATTTGGTTGGTAATACATTTTTCTTGTTTATAGGATGCTAAACTAAATAGCAATTTTCTCCACTTTTTTTTTATTTTTCAACTTTTAATTTGGTTTAGTTTTCCGAAATTTTCCCAACATTTATTAAAATGGCCGGTTTTCCACGGATGCTCCTCAACTACGGTCTAGGTCTTTTAAATCAAATTTGCCTATAATTATAAATTTAGACAATATTTTTAAATAATGACTTATAATTCATTCAATAATATAATGAGTCAAACCACGTCAAGTGGGACCAGAAAATTTCACGAAATCACCGATTTTGAAAATAATCACATTATTGTGTAGTAGGCATGACTCATATGTCACAGTAAAAATTTTGTTTTAAAATTCGTTTTTTTGGTAATTTTATTAAGATTGACAATTTTGTCAAACTTTAGAGCACGGTAAAATTGAAAAAATAGAATCTCTGGAACTACTATGTATAATTGAATTAAATTTTACACACTATTGTAGAAATGTTTAGACTATATAATGATCATTTAATTAAGGTTAATTTGTTTAAATAAAATAATTTTGCATACATTTATTATAAACAATTGAAATTTTGATTGTGTTCTTCACGCTGAAAAAAAATTATTCTGTGTCATAATATGCGGCAAACGTTTCCGTTTAATAAGATGTACTCAAAAATTTGTCTTTCCTATGTCATTCCGGAGATATTATTTTTTTTGTCCCGCTGTGCGCTTGATCAGTAAGCGGCGCGCTTCGTTTCTAGCTCGTCCGTTCTAACGTTTTAAC